TTTCCAGCCTGATCCATCACTGCATCTCTTTATATACCCACAATGAAATGAGCAGCATTATCCCTAGAGTACTCAGCAATTTAATGCTTCCTGCTTTTGATCTTTTGAAGTAGCTCTGTTCATTTCTCCCCTTGCTCCTCCTGTTTTCCAGGTATAGAAATGTCATACTCATTCTTTGAGTAAAATTCAGCTTAAATGCCAACTTCTAAGTAAAATCAGAATTACTTCTCCCTTCTTCTGCATGTCTGTCACTTTTCTTATACATTTATGGTTTTGTTATATTTTGAGAGTTGTACTAATATATTTTCCCTTATTAATAAATTCATTAAAGGCAGGCACTAGGTCTTTTTCATATAGCTGTCCCCCATAGAAGTGAACATGGTCCATGGTACTTTGTAGAATTTTTTGGAATGAGTTGTTATTGCTTTCTATGACATTTTTCTCTGGATTTTGTTAATTATGATTTGTTAGGATAATACCAAATGCAAGTTGTGACTTATGATAGTGATAAAATGGTTAGCATTTATTACTGTGCACCATACAGTGTTCTAAGTGCTTTATATGTTAGTTTGTTTAATCCTTATAATAGCCCTATGATTTTTATAATAGCCTTATGATTATTATTATCCTCATTTAACAAATTGGGTAAATTGGTCAAGGTCCCCTAGGTAGTAAGTGGGATTCAAATTTAGAAAGTTTGCTCCAAGAGCCTGCACTCCAAACCACTACACTATATTGTCAGTTCAGTGCAAATGAATCTTTTTTTGTGACCACTGAATTAGTAATTTGTTTGATGCTATTGACAGGATTTGAGTTACTTGTTATTTGACACCTCCCACAATGTTTTGCATTCATACGCTATTTGATGTCTGGAACAACTAGTGGGTGCTTACCCTTAACCTTCTGGGAGGATTTGCTGCCTGCGAGATTCACTTTCCTTCTGAAGTTTAACACATGAAAGAGTGCTTTGAAACATTGTCACTAAATGGTCTGGTATTCTTGTTCTTAGGATGGGGGTTCCTTGGATCAAGTCCTGAAGAAAGCTGGAAGGATTCCTGAACAAATTTTAGGAAAAGTTAGCATTGCTGTGAGTATGTTATGAAGTTTTGTTTCCAAGTTCTTTATTGATAAGTTAATGAGTTGGTAGGAAATGGACAAGGGAGGAAGGCAGGAAGTCAATGCCTGGAAACTGTATTTAAAAAGTGGGGTTTGCTCACTAGAATCTTCCCTGTCTAGGGTCTAGATAAAATAT